CTGTGTGCACTGTCATGTGTCTTTTTAGATCGGTCTTGCGACCAAATGCTTTGTCACATATTTCACATTGAAAATTCTTCTCGCCTGTGTGCACAACCATATGATCTTTAAGATTAGTCTTGCGACCAAATGCTTTGTCACATATTTCACATTTAAAATTCTTATTTCCTGTGTGTATAACCATATGAGTTCTAAGATTACTTTGATCTGAAAATTCTTTGTCACACATTCCACATTTAAAATTCTTCTCCCCTGTGTGCATTTTCATGTGCGTTTTAAGAAGGCATTTATATGTGAACAGTTTATTACAAATATCGCATTGAATTTTTTTACCGTCAGTATGCATTTTCGTATGCCTTATTAAATGGTTTCTGTTTACAGTTTTGTATTCACAGACATCACATTTTAATAACTGCTTTTGTTCTGTACTCCTGCTCATGTTTCTGTTTGACAATACAGTTCTTGAATCCTATAAGATAAACAAATAAATTTTAATCCACTATTTATGTAACTTTAAGTATGGTCACAGCTTTCAATTATTGGAAGTTAAATGTCAAAACTAGCTCCATATTTCGAATGATGCTTTATATTAATGAAGTTCCGACTTCATTTAAAGGATACTCGGAGAATTGTTCTATTAGATCCGTAAAAATTATACTTAATTCCAAAAAGGACACATGAGTATACAAAGTTAAGTGAAGAAATATTAATTAAGAATAATTTTTTCAAAAAAAAAAATGAGTAAATATACATGTATATATATTTATTTATGTATAAGAATTATTAATGACATAAAATCTGGATACAGTTTAACGTTTAATCTTAATCATAAATCAATTATGATATATATTTACCCTTGTTCTGTTAATTTCCGAGTTGAATTTATTTTCTTCTTGTTGTTTTTACAGACAATTTAGGAATGATGTTCTTATCATGTATCATATCATGTATCATGCAACTTTTTTAATGTAATGATAAAATATTTCTGTATTTGAGTTTATTTATACTCGCCTACAGTTGCCTATATTGATCAGATATTTAGAAATTGGCGTTTTATAGAACACGCAGTTTCAGAAACAAAAGGACATGTGAAATTGCATACCGGATATATCTAATTACTTTAATTTGTTAAATCCTGTTACTTTATTTTGACACATGGAAGTATTCTATTCATAAGCTCGACATGCCCCCTTAACTGTCTAAATAAAATTATCAAGTCAGTGCCAAAAATAAGAATTTCTTCAACACCTTTTTGTTAACAAAAGAATACATGTCAATGTTAATAATTAAATCTTTTGTTTCTCCTTCAAATAAATGCTATCAATTTAGATGAAAGGCTAGAGTAGGGATCTATTAATAACTTTATAAAAGTATGACACTTATTGTATTTATCATTACAATTTATTTATTTATTTATTTATTTATTTATTTATTTATTTATTTATTTATTTATTTATTTATTTATTTATTTATTTATTTATTTATTTATTTATTTATTTATTTATTTATTTATTTATTTATTTATTTATTTATTTATTTATTTATTTATTTATTTATTTATTTATTTATTTATTTATTTATTTATTTATTTATTTATTTATTTGTTTGTTTGTTTGTTTTTTTTGTTTATTTGTTTGATTGTTTATTTGTTTATTTGTTTTATTGTTTGTTTGTTTGTTTATTTATTTATTTACTTATTTACTTATTTACTAATTTATTTTTCTATTGATAAACGATTGAAGAAAACATGAAAAACGAGTCCAAAATTACCTAATGGTATCTCCAGTTAATGGACAATAGTTTCATAGCAATGAAATGGGCCGTATTTGTGTAATATAATTATACCAACCAAATTTATAGCCTACATGTACCAAGCGGTAAATTTCAGCTATCTGCCATCACTGCAGTGATCTGCCATCACTGGCGCCGGTAATACGGTGTGTTTTTCCATTTCAAACGATATGGTATAATGTCACTTCAATCGTTCATCAATAATAAAGGGACAGAGTATGGATCTATCAATTTCAATTTTGTATAATAAAGGCTTGAACTCGGAAGAATTTTATTAATCATATTAGTCTAATTGAAAATTACCTGATATCAGACATAGGATCAAACTTTTACTTTATTTATCAGAAAGATTTGTTCCAAATAGTGAAGTGGTAAATCGTACCTCTTGTATTTTCTATAAAGATGACATAAACAAGAGCACTGCTAGGCGAAGCATTATATGCCCGAGAATGTTTTTTTTAGTAAGGATGAAGCATTTGTAAGACATAGGAATTAAATACAGAATTACCTCCTTCAAAAAGCAATCCTTCTTTATAGCTGAAGAACCACCATATATATACTGTTGCGTTTTTTTCAAAGCACCACCATCAAGTTGTTATCTTGTAAGTAAAAATGCTACGACGGATGGACGGAAAGACACCAGGGTTATAACATAATATAAGCAAATTTTTTATGGAATATAATTATTGTATTCAATATAAGTGATCTTACTATGAAGTTTGACAGTTGTAAAACTGTTAACAATATTAAGGTTATTTGATATTGACCTTTGATCATGTGACCCCAATATACATATGGATCTTTTATTCTATATAAACAATCATCCTATGAAGTTTTCAACACTGTAAGCCTAATGGAACTTCAGCTGTAGGTTGATTAATACGTAAATTATTGAGCGGACACTGTTTTCAGTTTTAAGGTAATAGTGACCTTGACCTTTGACCTTGTGACCCCGAAATCAATTTGGGTCTTCTACTTAATATGGACAAACATCCTATGACGTTTGAATACTGTGGCCAAATGGAAACTGAAGTTATGCTCCGGAAACAATATACAGTTTTAGGGTAAAAGTGACCTTGACCTTTGACCTTGTGACCCCAAAATCAATAGGGGTCTTCTACCTAATATGGACAATCATCCTATGAAGTTTGAATACTGTGGGCCAAATGGAACTTAAGTTATGCTCGGAAACCATTTTCAGTTTTAGGGTAATAGTGACCTTTGACCTTGTGACCCCACAATCAATAGGAGTTTTCTACACAATATGGACAATCATCCTATGAAGTTTGAATAGTGTGGGCGAAATGGAACTTGAGTTATGCTCCGGAAACCATTTTCAGTTTTAGGGTAATAGTGACCTTGACCTTTGACCTTGTGATTCCAAAATCAATAGGGGTCTTTTACCCAACATGGACAATTATCCTATGAAGTTTGAATACTGTGCGCCAGATGGAACTTAAGTTTTGCACCGGAAACAATATTCAGGTTTAAGGTCATAGTGTCCTTGACATTTGACCTTGTGACCCCAAAATCAATAGGGGTCAGCTAAAATTATACTGATTTATACTTATAGGAAGTATATGGGCGAGAAAATACTTAATATTTTAGGGTATACCATACTAAATTGATTTATAATCATCGGTTTATGAACCTATGTCTTAGCTGTTATGTTCATGTCGTAGTTGTTTCTATAAACATACCGTAAAATTGGAAGATGATGTGATATCTCCAATACTAGACCTAGTAAGATACATTTTTTTAGGAATTTCTAAAATTGAAACAGATAGTTATACATGATTATTTACAAAGTCACTGTTCTTTATAACAGACCAATATGAAATATAGATACATTATTAAGATATGTACATACATAAATAGATACAAACGTGCATGCACGCACGCACGCACGCACGCACACACACACCACACACACACACACACGCACACACTACGCACACACCAGAACGACGCGACATATGATAACGCAAATAAGGATTTTGTCGTTGTGGCATGGGTCGAATTTGTTTATTTTCATTTAACCTGGTGTGCCACCTAATGTACTGAAAAAGGGGCATAGTGACTATATTTACACATTGTTCTAACTTTACAAATTAGTAATTAAACATGAAAGTGAATTACTTACATAGAAAAATCAATGAAAAAATACTTTGACAAAGATCGTCAGATAGAAATGGCTTGTAGGTGACTGATTAATTATTTTGTTTGTAAAAAAACCGCTATTGTTAATCGAGTTATGTTTCTGAGAAAACTAATTGTGACAAAAGAACAAATGGTAAAATATTTCTGAATTTTCGCTTTATCTCAAAATTTATTCATGATTGATTCTACATATGTAGAGATCGAATTTATCGGATGAATAAATAGAGGACATTGAATGAGTTTAGCTGATTTTATTGGACGAGTTAAATAAAATTATACTACATTCCATTTATGCGAACCTCTGGTAAGCATAATATTTTTTCCAGTTCAATAAATTTAGTAATGCAGCTACACCAATATCATATTCTATTTATCATATATCTCAAATGAAATATGTTTACAGTTTATCACAAACCCGTGCCGATTTTGCGACTCCGTAAAATGGTATTGCACGGCCGTGTATATATTTTGACTTGACGTCATTTACGTTATACAAACATAGTGTAAAGACGCCAGAGACTCGCATGATGTAATCTTATTCAACTTGTTCAATAAATTCAGTATTGAACCTACAATCATTTAATATCTTATTTCATCACATATGCATGCCAACTTCGTAAGAATGATATTGCACGTTTATTAACGTTATAGCGTAAAACGCGCTTAATGTTACCGTAACACTTTAGGCGCATCAGTTAAATTTGATTTTCTTTCACTTTGACAGTCTTTATTTTTGGTATGTGATAAATGGATTATTATATTCATATAGGTTCAATACTGAATTTCTTGGACTCGTTATATAAAATAATATTATTCAACTCGTTCAATAAATTCAGTATTGAACCTACACTATCCTCTCTATATATACACACTGTCAACTATGGCGCCAAAAAACAAATGAGGTCAGGAAAGTTTCTCCTACCCTCAATGAAGTTTAGCAAATTTTTATCAATCCTCTTTTTTTATTAGCATGTTTGAATGGACATAGATATTACTTTTCTTGCATTAAAATCACTACATACACACAGACCAAACTACATTTATTTTAATTTCCTGTCAGTAACATATACCTTCCGTGTAAGTTAACAGTAAACTTACAAACTTAACTAGCCTCTAGTGATATACTCAGTTCTTTATTTTATGTTCATTCAGTAAAAATGGAATTTATAAATTGTCTCGCGGCAATTTTATGCACCTTATTTCTGTCAAGTATAGGGTCGATGGAGCCAGACGGAGGGGGATGCCCAAGGTTTGCGTTTGAGCACAAACTTCTTGAAAGTCTTGTACGTGTCGAACATGCAGTTACGACATTGGGAAATAAAATTAACAACCTTGAAGAACGGATTAACACATTGGAAAGTACAGGTAATTTTAAGTTTTAAGCCCTATCTTTTGTGATAGGCGAATACTGTATGAGTCAGTGTAGGCTCCAAAGCGGAGCGCATCAGGGGGTGTCATTAAACATAATAGGAGTTAAAAGAAACTTTCCAAATTATGTGGTTTATTTCAATTTAATGTTTTAACATTTATGTACTGAAGCCTATTTACTAGGCATTTCGACTTAGCTTTCGTGGTAAAGGCAAATTATTATTCTTATTTAGGAAAATATAATCTTTGACTGAATGATAAATTTCAATAACATTTATAAAATTCACAAAATGCACATAAATATTTGCTATCTAAATAAAGGAAATTGTCTCATGTGCATCGTGAAAAGTTACATTTTTTTTTGTCGAGACCGATTTAAGTTAGAAAACGAACGAAACTTCTTGTGACCCACTTGAACATTAAAAGTGTATTGCAATAAAAACCACTAAATGAAAGTTGAAACCGCCTAAGCCCAGTGTACTGGATAGCGAGAATATGATTCGAATTGAACTTTTAACCTCCGTCACTCCCCGACGTATTTCGTGTTTATAAGGTGTTCTTGCTTAACTGATTGAGCACAGCATGGGTATTTTGATGTGAATTGAATTTCTGACCTGTGGAGTGGGGCATGTACCAAGGTTATCGAAAGTTCAAGATTAACGATCAACGCTATTCCCCAGGGACTGAAGCATATTTTGCTCACAATTTGCTTAATATAAACAATTTGAATTAAACTGTCCCTTTGAAATGTGTATAACTCTTAAATATACTTGACCCCGAGTCTTAGAGATACCGGCCTCTTTCTTCCTTGGTGTTCCATTTCGTTTCGTCATTTAAAAAAAATATTGTTACATTTCAGATAAAAGTAACAGCAAAATGATTGCCTTCACAGCCGTTCTAGATCGCACTAAAAAGTTCAGTAATGGGGACATTGTCAACTTCAACTTAGTATTGAACAACGCTGGAAATGGGTATGATCGAAACAGTGGTAGATTTACAGCACCGGTATCTGGAACGTACATGTTTGCATTCCAAATCGAACACTATACAAATAAGATAGTTGTCCATCTTATGTTTGAAAATGTGCGCCAATGTAGTGCTGTTATAGAACCTAAAGGAAAAAGTACACAGAGTGCAGGAAATGCCATTATTGCGTTACAAAGAGGGCAATCTGTTTGGATTGAAACATTAGGAGGAGAACTATATGGCAATGATAACTTTTACGGGACAGTTTTCAGCGGAGCCTTTTTATTTTAAAGGAAATGGTTTTCAGGCGGAAAACATTGTCTGCGATTTTGATTGCATATTTTTTATGCTGAAGCATGTAGATATATTTTTAAATCAAATTCATTGATAGAAATTGTAATTCGATAATAAGCTGTAGTGTTTTTTGTTTCTTTTTTCATAAATTTTATTCTTTGAAAGTAAATTTTGACAAATCAGTTTCATGAACATTGATTATTTTCTCATATTTCTTTTTTTAAGTTGATTTCTAACTTTTTGTTTTCATTATCTCCGTGTCCAAAATACTTATAAAATATTACTAAATATATAATAGCAAAACAATAGACTAAATTTTCTTTAGCTCATGTATAAAAGATTGAAAGTTGAACCACTCGTAGGATATGTTGCTTGCTTTTTTTGAATTTGTCGTTTAACAGCTGACTCTCAGACTGTATAACTTTTAATTTAAAATCATGGGTCATATAGCATTTAAGTTTCCCAATGTTCCCAACTTTGTGTAACCTTTCGTTTAAGGATGAGATTGAAATTTTAAAAGGACATATTTAACGTAACTGATAAAGTTTTATGTGGTAGCAATTGTCAGTCACAGACCACCCACTATTTGAGGAATGTTCTATGAAAATTATTCTTTAACATATCTTGTAAAGTGATTGTTATTAACATTCTAATCTCATCATTTATATCCAACCACAGTCGTTTTAGATCACAAAATAGTTCAGTTCTTGGAGTGTTCTCTAATTCAACTCGATATTGAACAACTTAGGAATGGGAACGATCCCGACAGAAAACAGTTTACACCACTTTCTGGGACATAAATTATTTCCTTCCAAATAGAACACTGGGATACTATAAACAAATATGTTGGGAAACGTTCTGAAAGGTTCTGCACTTATTAATCCTGCAGAAAGAGGCACCCTGCGTTATATAGAGGTTGCTCTTATTTCGCTTTTACGCGGACAATCGGTTTGGATGGTCATGTGTGTTGAAGTGGCATGATTTACGCGACAGCTTTCAGTGGATCGTACCTGTACCTCGGCAAATTTTGCGTACATGCCGAATTAAGGTCGACTGGTCGCTATAGCCAGTGGTTTAGCGAATAGCTAAGCGATGATATGTAATAATATTATTTTTACTTATAATGATGAAACTACATTTTGTAATATCAATTATGGAATGTAAGAGAAATTGTATGAAGTTTAAACTATTTTAAATTGTTCAAAATTTATTTACAAAAACATAACACAGCCAGGTATTGTAATCATGATTGAAATCAAGATGGATTTAATTTCCTTTTTCAGAAGTGTTTTCTTTGTTATTTTTCTTTTCTTAACATGAGATATAATCAAGGAAAATATCGCTTCAAAATGATCTGTATGACGATAATACAAACACAACAGCTTTAAATTCTAGTGTAACAATACGTTATGGTATTAAGTTTTAGTATTTACACCTTAAATATAGTATCGCACGATCATTTACGTCCCTTAAAAGAGTTCAATGCAAACGTGTATTATGTCAATGTTACAAAATAATAATCATTGTTTTTAACAGTTTCTTTTCTCTCTCTCTCAACTCTACTCTTTCAATTTTCATTCGAAATATTTAAGTTATTACACTACGTAGTTAGTAGGTATATATTTTGTAAATATTCTCCTTTACGTAGTATAGAAATTTCACCACAATTAAAGTTTATTTCGGCTAACGAGGTTGTAACGATAGATGAGGGCAATGGTTCGCATTCGTAGGGCCCAAGTTATTCTACATAATTTGAATTGAATATAAGATGAATGGATGTTACCAACTAAGCAATAAGATACTAATTTTAAATACAATGTAAAATATAAAAAGGCATTATAAAGTGACCTTGGCATTGACCCCATTTTGAAAACATCCTAATTAAGTGGTCAACACAAGATACCTACACTGTCCAGGTATGTCAGGTATCAAAACTCAAAAAGCAAATGAGAAAAAAACAACTCTATTTATAGGTTCAAGAACCTTGACCCAATAAACTCATATTTTACCAAAGGTATCCCTTCAATAAGCTACCAAATATTTAAGATAAAAAAAATGCTGCTCAACAAATAAAGGCCTTATTGAAAAGCTACAGGTACATGTACCTGAAAAAAATTAATGAAGTACAAACAATGAACTATATAATTATGCCCCTTGAAATTAAAGGGGAGCACAAAAAAGGAAATGAAACACAAATAATCATTTAAAGAAAATCATAAAAGCAATGTTTTTTGTAGTCATGAATATGAACTCAATTTTCAACCCCTTCTCTTCAGTTGTTTTGGAGATACCAACTTACATGCATACACTTTACCAGTGTGACGGTCATTGCAAACATTGAAAACGTGACTATAAGTATGATTTGTTTTTTAATTCTGTTATAACAATTCATATGCAGCTATATTTATAATGATTAAGCATTTGATTTGCTTACTGTGCAAATAATATGAAAATCGTTGAGTTATAATTAGTAAAATATACTTAATATGCAATTGTTTAAATCAAGAAAATTTTGCTAACTTTCTCAAATCATTATCAAACATATTTTCGTCAACTTTCCAGAAAGATATGCATATAATGTCCAACATTATCTAACATATTATCGTCCTCATAAAAACTATTTGCAACAAAATACGATTGTTCACGTAATAATTTTGATATTATAAATCGAAGCCGAGAACCAGACCGGATTTTTTACGACAGAGGTCGCCGTAGAAACAATAACCGCTCCCTCCCCGGTGAAACGTCAATTTTCACCTTGCTGGAATATACAACCACAAGAAACACGAGCACAGAGGACAGAACCACAAGCGTTCGGTGCGTGACCATGACTTGCACTATACCTCCTATCCCCCTCTACAACTCAAAACCCATAAACATCATCCAAATATCATTAATATTGACAAATATCAATTATATGGAAAAAATATGAAAATTATATCACTAGCATCTCAATTTTCAGCGTATATATTCATCCAATTTTCTATAACTAAGAAATGGTACTTTATAGTCTAGTGCAAAGTAGTACGAACACAAATAATTGTAGGTGTTGGGACAGGGTGGTAATTTCTTGGCTGTCGTTGTCCCATAAGGATGACAACTTTACATATGAGCACATAAAATAATCTGTATAGTTATAGTTAAAAATATTGTAACATATATATTATGCTGTAAACTAATTGTTTACTTGTTCACATGTTATTACAAAATGTATGTTTTGTAATCTGTGTCTATGAAATAAAAGAAATGTTCTGTTCTGTTCAATAAGTCATCCCGGTATGCCATAGAATACATTAATTTGACAAGAAAGGACGGACTAATAAAAATCTATTTTTGGCCCAACTCTTAGTGCAGAGTCATAAAATCAACAAACCGTTGCCTATTTCTACATTGCACGATTTTCTCGCATCATTATACAGGACAAAATCGTGCGTAAGCAGAATGCGTAAAATTAATAAAACAATCTGTTAAAGGCATATTAAGCCTCAGAAATAAATACGATTATTTGTTTACATGTTTAAGTTATTAGTTTATTCATTAATTTATTAGTTTATTATAAAGGATACAAACATACACAGACTGACAGCGATACAATTAAGCTGTTATGTATAAATCTGATTAAACATGTAGTTAGCTCGAGTTTTCACATTGTCGGAGAGATCAAAAGTCTTGATTTGTCTTTAATTTAATTATAAATTTTATTTATAGTTTGTGAAATTCTAAAAGTCCGGGTTTTTGCCTTGATTAACAAAAATGGAATATTAAAAGAAGAGCATGATTTTTTGTTGCATCGCTTGAAAATATTTAAACAAAATCCGACTAGGGTTTGAGATATTTCACACACTGAACAAGTAAAATTATTATTTGAAAGCAAATAATAGTAAAATGACAGCACAAAACAAATGGATGAAAGGATTTAGATTCGGTATAATATAACAAATAAAACATGGCCTTTCGGGCAAAATGCAAATTTACGGACTGGTTGGTCAGACCTCGGAAGGAATATGGCCCTCAGCTGCGCTTCGGGCCATATACCTTCCTCAGTCTGACCAACCAGTCCGTAAACTTGCATATTGCCCTCAAGCCCATGTTTTATTTGTTAAATATAACCCCACTCGTTTTCTAGCAAATAAATATATTTCTCGGTGAATACTTGTATTTTACTATGAATTATATGAAGCTGTTAAAATTATTTTTTTCGCAGGACCGATTCTTCATGGCGGACGAGAAGTATAATCGATGTTAAACATTTAATTCCGGAATTACATGTGTATGGACACTTAAGTGACATTTACTATAGAAACTGTCTGGCCACTTGATGGGGGAGAAGTGTGGCGATTTTGTGTGGACTCAAACCATCCAGTGAAACGTAGTGTTTGTGATTGGACTAACTATAAAACTACACTTCTTCCAATGCTGCATAGTTCTAGTAACTAGCAAGTCCCAAACCATGATAAAAGCAGAGGGGAAGAAATGAAGTTCATAGTTTATGTAATTATACAATGCATACCCTTTTATACGGTGTCCTTATCGTGCCATTTAGAATGTCGTCCGTCGCGTCTAAGGGTAGACACACGACAATGCGAAGTGACATCGCGACAATGCGAAGCGACGCTCGACAACGCGAAGCGATATGCGACAATGCGAAGCGACGCTCGACAGTGTCAAACGATATGTCGCACTGTCGCCTAGAAATGTCGCGTTAAAAAAGGGCGACATTTAAGAAATGTCGCTTCGCGTTGTCGAGTGTCGCTTCGCATTGTCGAGCGTCGCTTCGCGTTGTCGCGATGTCACTTCGCGTTGTCGCGATGTCACTTCGCGTTGTCGCATTGTCACTTCGCATTGTCGAGTATCGAGGTTGGTAGAAGTGCATACCACGACACTCGACAATGCGAAGCGACAATGCGATACGACGCTCGACAATGCGAAGTGACACTCGACATCGCGAAGCGACATTTTTAAAATGTCGCGTTATTTTTATGATTTTTACACCGCGACGCTCGACAATGCGAAGCGATGCTCGACAACGCGAAGCGATACTCGACAACGCGAAGCGACACTCGACAATGCGAAGCGACATTTGGAATAATATCGTATCGCATTGTCGTGCGTCTACCGGTGCTTGGTCAGAATTTACTAACTCACCGACAAACGGTGCGATCATGGAAGGGGTCGCACTAAACTGCTGACGAATTAGCTGACGATATAGAATATATAGGAAACTGCTGACCAGTTAAACAAAGAAGGATTATCGAAAACTGCTGACCAGTTAGATAAAGAAGGGAAAACAATGAAGGTGTCAAATTGCCGTTGGTGATATTACAGGCGAGGTCGAGAAATACTTGATAAAATGTTTTTTCAAGATGTCAATATTACAAATGATACATATTAATTATAAAAAATTCAATTGATATATACTGTATATTTCTCAATTTATTTTGATATAATATTTTATTTAAGTACCTTAATGAATTTTCTTCTATGTGTTATAATTATATTGGTTAAAATTTTAAAATGTAGTCAAAATATGATGTACGAAAAATCATAATTTGTTTCAAGTATGTATAAAACTATGCATCATAGGTTAAAATATATACATGTACATATACGTAATGTATATTTTAACAAAATATAATTATTATGTCGTATTTAGTGCAAATATGAAATAAAGTGATTTCTGTTTCCTTATTTGTTGTTCGTATAATTGTATAAGTAATATTGAACAAAAATTAATAATGTGCTAATTGTTATAGTTAATAAGCTTTTATTACATTATAAACAACATGTTTCCACAGATATCCATTAAACTGATAATTTATCGAGATCGATATGCCCCAAGGTCATATTAAAATCGATTTCACACGCGACGTGTCATTCTTGATTTATCTATGACAAAATACAATAAACAGTCAAAAATATGTTATTAAAATGCTGACCATACAGTATTGTAGAATCTGCTGAAAAGTTAGATATATAGAGAAAAATATATTTAAATGCTGCGAAATTGTTACTCATTATGCAAATTTAATATATTTTATAAAATAATGTCGACATTTAATTAAGTAAAAACACTGCTGACCAATTTAATGTTAATTCAAATTGATTTAAGCCGTAAAACTCTCTTATTCTATATGGTCAGCAAATTTAACGCTCTTTACATTCAGGCGAGAAAATGCTGACCAGTTAAACATATAGTAGAATCTGCTGACCAGTTAGATATATAGGGAAACTGCTGACCAGTTAGATATATAGAGAAAAATATATTTTGCCGTGAAATTGTAATTCATTTTATAATGTATGCAAATTCAATATATTTTATAAAATTATGTCGACATTTAATTAAGTAAAAACACTGCTGACCAATTTAATATTATTTCAAATTGATTTAAGCCATAAAAGTCTTCTTATTCTATATGGTCAGCAAATTTAACGCTCTTTACATTCAGGCGAGAAAATGCTGACCAGTTAAACATATAGTAGAATCTGCTGACCAGTTAGATATATAGGGAAACTGCTGACCAGTTAGAAATATAGAAAAATATATATTTTGCTGTGAAATTGTTACTCATTTTATAATGTATGCAAATTTTATATATTATATAAAATCATGTCGACATTTAATTAAGTAAAAACACTGCTGACCAATTTAATGTTAATTCAAATTGATTTAAGCCGTAAAACTCTTCTTATTCTATATGGTCAGCAAATTTAACGCTCTTTCACATTCAGGCGAGAAAATGCTGACCAGTTAAACATATAGTAGAATCTGCTGACCAGTTAGATATATAGGGAAACTGCTGACCAGTTAGATATATAGAGAAAAATATATATTGCCGTGAAATTGTTACTCATTTTATAATGTATGCAAATTCAATATATTTTATAAAATTATGTCGACATTTAATTAAGTAAAAACACTGCTGACCAATTTAATATTATTTCAAATTGATTTAAGCCGTAAAAGTCTTCTTATTCTATATGGTCAGCAAATTTAACGCTCTTTACATTCAGGCGAGAAAATGCTGACCAGTTAAACATATAGTAGAATCTGCTGACCAGTTAGATATATAGGGAAACTGCTGACCAGTTAGATATATAGAGAAAAATATATGCACGTGATCTTAAAGTATGAAGACATGGGTTTTACAGTCAGTAATTTTTGTGGAATAAAATGCAAATTAAAAGTTGTATGGACTAAATTTTTGATGGATTAGTAAGATATTGTGTTTTTTCACATGCCGCCGAAAGGAAAGCAACAAAATAAAAAGGAAAATAGAAAAAATAAACGTAAAGAGATTTCGCCTTTGTTAGAACAGACATGTACACATAACACAGAGCGTGTACACAATGGACAAACCGGTTTTGCCAGTTTACCTACCAGTTTACCTGTGTTAACTAACAGAGATAGTGATGACGTAAACAATCAAAACAAACGAAAGAAACAACGTAGTGACATATTTGTATACGATACACCAACAGTAAGTAAAATAAATAGTGAAATGAGTACTAATGTACGGAATTCCATAAACGACAGCCTACTGCTTACTGCCTACTGCTAAACTGGACAGCATGCTGCTCACTGCCTACTGCTTACTGCTGAGTGACAGTCTAAGTATATGTATGGATCAATTACGAAGTATTCCGAATGTTTACACAGGTTCACCCGCCATTTTGTTGAACAATCTCCTGACGTAAATGTTACGGAAAACAATGGTAAGTAAATTAAAAAGGATTATTTTATAATTAAGCCTAATAATTCGTAATTTCGAATTGATTGCAATGACTTGTGCAGTCCCACCCTTGCACACTGAATGATTATGTTATGAAATGATTCCACGTGCCTCATTGCACGGTGATTGATAAATTGTCAAATATAGGACTCATTTTAGGGTAATCAACTGATTAATAAATTATTCACAAAGAATATGTGTTCAACATTTAATATTGAAGGGCTTGAGCCCACTTTACCTTGTTGAGAGGCGGACATCTGGACCATTATGTCAACACCTCCTGATTTTTGTTTACATTTTCATAGTTTATTAAACTTTCATTTGACAATGTAATACATTTCTAGAAGAACATCTGTAATATACTGGTGAAATCACTGGTGTATTTCAGGCTAAACATTCTTGTCTGTCATTATCAAAAAATGTGTGAGTTCATTTACGAGATCATTTTGGTTCAGTTTTCATTGGCTGTTAGTTGTGGCGTATAAATATGTAATTCCTTATTAGATGTTATGTAGTACATTTTGTTAAGTTTATTGTACACTGGATATTTTTTAAGGTTAATAATAGAACCAATTTTATTCTAGTACAGAGGATGATCAATCTGACAGAAACATTTCTAAGGAAGAAAGGCATATACTTCCATCGTACTCCAAGTTTGACTT